TGTATAAAATGGATAACTAATAAGAACCTGCTGTATAAAAAAATAAAAGTTCAAGAATTCAAAATAAAATATTTTATTGCTAAAAATAATGCTAATTGTCATCTGAGCCTTCAGCAAGTCATAATCTTTTTGTAATAGTAACATCAGAGATCACTGACCACCGTAACAAATATAAAAATAATGAAAAAGTTGAAATATTATATGAGAATTTCCAAAATGTGAAATAATGACACAAACTGAGCAAATGCTTTTGGGAAAATGGTGAGTATAGACTTGTTCATGCAGGGTTGCCACAAACTTCTATTTGCCCAAAATCTCACAGTATCTGTGAAGCACAATAAAACAAGATATGCCTGGTTCTCTTTCAATATCCTCAAAGGGGGCAAATGTTCAACATTTATGAATAGATTTGATTTTTTTGTTTGTTTTTTTTTGCGGTACGCGGGCCTCCCACTGCTGGGGCCTCTCCCATTGCGGAGCACAGGCTCCAGACACACAGGCCCAGTGGCCATGGCTCACGGGCCCAGCCACTCTGCAGCATGTGGGATCTTCCCGGACCGGGGCACGAACCTGTTTCCCCTGCATTGGCAGGCGGACTCTCCACCACTGCGCCACCAGGGAAGCCCCAGATTTGATTTTTTAAAATAGCTAAAGTCTGAGGGAAACAAAGCTGGGGAATAAGACACATGATCAATAGGTATTTCTATTTGTAGTCAAAAAATAAGTTCTGACCACAAATAATTAGACTGATTTCCTTCAGTGTCTCATAAACTGATTTTGAAGGAAATTCCAAAGAATTCCTGCTACATACTGAATTGTGTAATTCCAATCCCCTACTCCTCCAGTTCATATGGTGAAGCCCACATCTCCAAAGTGACTGTATCTGGAGAAAGGGTTTTAAAGAGGTAATTAAGGTTAAATGAGGTCATAAAGGTGGGGCCCTAATCCCACAGGCCTGTGGCCTTCTAAGAAGTGGAAGAGTAAAATATTCCCCACTCTTTCCCCTGTCCCTAATGAGGACAAAGTGTGAAACCCGGAAGAGAGTCCTCATCAAAACCACATCCTGTTGGAACCTTGATTTTGGACTTTCCAGGCTCCGAAACTGTGAGAAAATAAACTTCTGTTGCTTAAGCTACCGAGGGTATGGTCTTTTGTTTAATCTCATTACTGTACAGTCTAAACACATAGTTTGGATGTCAATATACTACAAAGTTAAAATAACCAACAACTCCAAAATTGTGCATAAGCCTTATAGAAACACAATGCCATATTAGTGAAATAAGCATAACAAGGAAGTTAATTCTATGTACCAGTAAATTAGACACGATGGATACTCATTAATTTATTAAGTAGTGTCAAATGGATATAATGAATCCTTGTTGTGGCGCTGTTGCGACATTTCTGCTGTAATTAATGACAAATACCACAGCAGGAGCCCCCAAACAGCATCATAACAAGGATTCATAATATTTAATTTTCCCAAGTAAAATCAAAAGTCACATTTTTTAATGGAATGATAATATATTCTGTTTAGAAATACCTATGGAACAGGGAAGTTTAGTTCAAGAATTCTTCCACTAAGTTAAAAAAATATATACTTTAAAACAGACTCACCCAAGCTTCAGCATATTGATCATGTCAAAGTTCACTACATCAAACACCTTCATTGCTTTATCATCACCCACGGAACAGAACAATGCTCCCTCAGAGCTAATTGCAATACTCTCAATAACTCCTATTTAAATAAATCAAATTAAAACATTCTAGTAAACACCAATGAAATGGACATAATTGAAAGAAAAAAATATTTTAAAAGGAACTTTAATCAGTACAGTTTAAAAGAGAGCCAAAAAAAAAAACAAAGTGAAATTCTTACCTAGGTGACTGCGAAAATGTTTAACAAATTCAATCCCCTCTTCTACTTTTTTCCAGAATTTAACATGTCCATCATGACTGGCAGTAATAATAAAGTCTGTCCTGCATATATAAAATTGTAGAAGTTAATTTCTAAAACAGATCTATGAATCACTTAGTACTCCCAAAGCAATCATTCACTGAGAATCTTGGACTCTTAAATAACAGGTTAAAAAAAAAAAACCTTCCTTTATGCAGACCACTATATCACTATACTAGGGTAGACAGAACATTGCAAAATTTGATGCTCTTTTTTGGATATCATAACAGCTTCTGCTGCACTAATTTTAAATCCAAGAACTAGGATCAGAATTGAGCTAGAACTTGACATTAAAAAAAAAAAAGAAAAAGAAAAAGAAAAATCTCACCAGGAATCACTAGATCTTAGGGTCCTTTAATGCTAAAATTACCCTATAGGCAGTCTTTTCACAGGGAAAATGTACTATCTTTCAGAAGTTGATAAATAATTAAATTCCAACATACTACTTACATATACAGCAAAATTCAATGTAAGTTTGTTTCAGATACTATCCAAGGTATTTTGGTTGTTTAAGTATCAAAATCTTGTACAGTATAGCCTCCTCTGTCAGGTATATAAAAATAGAAACCATTTGTTGAAACCTAGTGTATGTCAAGTACTCTACATACATTATCTTAGTTACAACTACCTTTACAGCAACTCTGTTAGGGTGAATATTTTTTACCACCTTTTTAAAAATTAGGAAATAGTTTTACAATGTTAAATGTATTTGTCACAGGTCCATAGCTGGAGAGCAGCATTCAATATTGGGTCTGCCTAACTTCAAAATCTAGGTTTCTATAAAATCTTCAAAAATCTTTCTATTACACCCTGCTACTTAGGTTAAACAAAGAAACTTGGAGTGATAGAATGCTAGTCCTATATGCAGCTTTATACACTGACAACTTTGGACTAGGAAAAAAGAGTTAATATTAGGTTAAAATTATCCCATAAATGAAATATAAAGATATTTAATTTAAATCTTTAACTGTCTCCAAGAGATCAAGAATAGACTGATCCAAAGAGCAACAACTCATCTTCTTTCCATGCTCACTGCCAATATCATCCCAGCCACCATCATATCTCATCTAGGTTTCTGTATTAGCTTCCTGCTTTCTCTGTATCCATTCTTGCTCTATTTGAATCCATTCATCTTACCACAGCCAGAGTGATCTTTAAAAAATATATATATATATATACACACATATATATATGGTGTTACTCTCCCAATCAGGTTCAAATTCCATATAAGAAATAGAAAACCTCTGGGGTTTAGTCCTTGCCTTTTTCCTCCAGCCTCATCTGCCATTTAACCCCTCTAAACCTGCTTCCTTTTCTGTAAAATGTAGATGATACTACCTTATAAGATTGTTAAGATAAATGAAACAATTTATGAAAAAGCCTTGGCACTGTACCTGGACATAATATGCACTCAACAAAGAGCAGAATATTACTATTATTATTATTATCCTTCTACAAATCCCTATTCAGCTATTTTGAAGGTCCTGTGACAGTTCCAGAATGTCTTAGATCTCATCATTTTCCCCATTAGTACTGAAGAGGCCAGCTACCAATTACTCCCATCTTAACTAATAGACTCTTCTTCATGGAAGCTCAGATACTACCTGGATCATCCCCTTTTGGCATTTATCTCCAAAAGACATGTACACAAACTAGGGAATTTTGTCTTACAGAATGCATTCCTTGTATGATATAGGAAAGACCATGTAGGTCTTTATTTAACATAAACTATTACAAAACCTATGGAATGAAATAGAAATCCTTAATATCCTAAAGCTACTTCTACAAATCCATCTCAAAACTGAAGCATTTTAAAAAAGGATAAACTTCTTAGAAAAATATTAAGATGTGATAGACTTACTTGGTGCACACCACATGGGTGATAACATCTCTATGCATGTAACTGCGCTCATACATGGATGCACTGGGGAGATTATCAAGATAGACTCTTTCAAACTCTAGAACTAAGGAAAAAAAAGGAAAGAAAAATATTTTTTAACAACTGGAATGCTATTTTGTATCTTCTTCTAGATTTTAATTTCTCTCAATTCACGTATAATGAAAGAAAAATCCAGTGTCAGTTATGTCAGTTGTAACTTATTTCACAGTACTGAATAGCACCATTATTTAGTCGGTCATAACAGGTTTTCAAGTACTATATAGACGTTTAACTGTTCCCAGAACTTAAGAATTGAGTGGTTCTGGCTTAATATAAAGGTTCCATTAAAAACCAAAAATCTTAAAGTTTCATGAAAATATCACAACCATATTTCTAACCATGTAGATCCAATTATTAGTGCTCATTTAAATAAGTAATAAGAGGCCAGTGACAATCTAGAATGTCTCAGTTTATCTTGAAGGCAATGATCCTCTTTGAAGTCACTGATACTAGGTTTGAAACAGGTAAACACGATAAATGCTTAGATTTTTGGAGCTGAGAAAATCCTAGAGAATATCCAGTTGAGGGCTTCTCAAACCTTTCCCAAGGGCGAAACATTTTTAAGAGTGGTAATCTGAGGAAATATTTCATTATAGGAGCTATGAAAAATTTTACTAGTAAAAAATGCCATTATACTTGTAACCAACAAAACAATCAATGATGGCCAAACATGCCTATAAAAAGTTCCTAAATTAAGCATGACTGTTCCTAAATTAAGCATGGTTTTTCATAACTACTATATAGCAGACTCAAAGTTGTGTCCAACAAATTACTTTTCCCTTCATTTTTAGTAACAGAACCCCTGTTTTTATATGGGAGTATTGACATCCAGCCACAAGATCTTTCTCACCATCTCTGCAATTAGGTGTGACCAAATGCCAATGAGATAAAAGTGAAAGTGTTGTGCAACAGTCAAGAAGTCTCCTTGAAGAGTTGTGCCCTTCTTCCCTTATTCAGTCCTACAGCTGGGAACTGGGAGATAAGCACTGTTAATTCTAACAAACACTAAGGACAAAGATGAGGTCCATACCCTAGTGATGTTTGGGCATGAAGTTGGAAAGAACCTAGGTCCCCTTGGAGCCTCCACAACAATCCTAGATTGTCTACTTTAGGACTTCTATCTTTTTAATGTTACTGTCATATTGAAGTTTTCTGTAATATGCAGCTAAATTTAATCCCATCTGATGCATATTCCTTTTGCTGTTTGTTAGTTCACTTGTTGAACAGATATTTATTGAAAACAAACTAGGTTCCAAGAGACACGGACATAAAGAAGAATTAACACATAGTTCCTGTCCTTGAGAAACGATCAGTTTAATTAAAGGTAATGCCATATCACTTATAGTGTCTTTCTGAAAATGTGTACAAAAGTCCCATGTCCAAAGAACATGTTAAAGGCGATGGTTCCATTTCTAGAAAGTTTTCAACCCCTGTCCTTTCAGGTAAAATCTTCAATGATATTTTTCTAACATTTCATACATGTTTTTAAATTTCAACTTTTTCTTCAAACTGAACACACTACTGACTGGCTTAAATAGAATGAACATCTAATTGTCTCAATTGTATCGAGTTTATAAGCTTTTTGTCTCCTAATGCTAATATCAGCACTTTGATATTTTTGGATTTTTCCATTCCCTCCACTCATTTCCACAAAAAAAGGACACGAAATCTAGTGCAAGAAAATAATTACGAGCATAAACATTATAATATTCAATCATTCAATACTTATTGAGTATCTGCTATATGCAAAGCACTGTACCAAGCACTGGAGCAAAACAGGCATGTTCTTTGCTCTTATATGTTTACAGTCTTAACAGTGAAGAGAAACATTAATCAGACAATCACATGAATAAATATACAATTAAAAATGTAGCAAGTGTAATGAGGAAACAATTGCTACGGAAACATTTAACAGAAATACTTAGTAGTAAAAAAAAGGTAATGCACTTTAAGGGTGTTAATGTACAATGTTCAAAAAAATAGCTTCTTCAAAATTCGGATACATAAAATTTGAAGGCTACCTATAAATCCAGTGTGATAAACACACCTCAGATTTATGATCAATGTGCTTTAGAAACCTAGCCCAGACTGAAAGAAGTCACAGGTTTCCCAGAGGAGGTGATAGCTGAGCTGAGTGTTAAAGGTTGAACAATAGTAGGTTAAGTGAAATGGGTGAGGGAAATTATTCCAGGTAGAGACACCATGACAGCGACGCAGGCATTCACAGGAGAAAAAGGGCATGCCCAATTCTCAAGTGTTTTAGTATGGCTGGATCACAGAGTAAGAAGGAACTACAAGGGTTTGGTAGAGGGAAGTAATGGAAATGCGCTGAGGGAGGTAAGGAGAAATCATATCAGGAAGGACCTTGTATGCTATGTTAGGGAGTTTGGACTTTGTTTTGAAAATAATGAGAAATCACTTAAAATTTTTAAGTAGGGAGAGTAATAAAGATTTGAACTTTCAGAAAGATAACATTTTAATGGTCTTATACGTTTAAGGAAAAAATTTCAAAGAACTTGAAAAATAAGTAAATTTAATCTGTCCCTTTCACCACTGCCCCCCCCCCCGCCCTTTTCTGGACCACCCTTTTTAGTTGATAAAATTTTGTCACTAATCCACGTTAGTGGAAAAATGCTTCAGGCCATGGTATCTCACGAGTATGGTTTGAAAACCATAGACCTTGGTTTTTAGATGAAAGATTTGTGATCCAGGAAATTTATGTAACTATATCAGAAAACTCATTAGTGGAAGAGTCAGGATTGAAATTATCTTTACCTATTCTTTACCACTCTAAATAGGCACCGCCTGCCCCGGCGGCCCAACACACTACACCACTCTTGAACTGAAAACCTTAAATAGAACCAGTATTCTTATCCACATCTGCTAAACGGGGTTAAAAATTCCAACCTCATACGGCTGCTGTACGGATTAAATGAGAGGCGCCAAACACGTAAGTACCGGCATAAATTAGCTTTAGCATCCATTGTAACAAATCAGAGATTAATTGTGTTAGATATTATCAAAAAGACGCTTTACTCAAACCAAATAACTATTTCGGGAGTAAAGAACGGCCAGAAGTGAGAAGACGACCCTCTGTTCCGAGGGCACAAATCCTCCGTTTTGGGGTCTGGCTTGAACTCTCCTACTCGGGGGACACAGCATTCCAACCTGCCCTGTGCCTATCTCTGTAGCTACCTTTCCTCTTCTTGACCAGCGTTGCCTCTACAGGTAAGGGCCCAACCCAGCGCTCTTCATTTTCTTCTTCGTTCTCTTGGGCCACAGCCACTACCAGCTCTCCCTCGCCGAGTTTCCTTTTTTCAGGTTCCTCCGTGTCCCGGCGCCTTCTCCTTCTCAACTGTAACTCGCTACCACCTTCGGCCGCCATGTTGTCCGAATCGTCAGAAAAGGCGCGACACCCACAAGCTCTGCTACCAATCCCGAAGCAGCGACGCGGCCTGTTTGTCAGCGGCAGAGCAAGTTCCGGGATTGGCTGGGAGCAGAACCAATCAGAAATCAGCGCGCGCGAGTCCTCGGCCGCAGAGCCGCGTCTCCGGTAGGCTGAAACGACCTGAAGTCCGGGGCTCTGCGTGGTGGTAAGCGATGCGCCGGGGAGAGCGCCATAACAGTTGAAACTTGCTCTGGGGTTGGTAACTCCCAGGATATGGAGCTGCAGCCCCAGTGGTGGGACCCTTACCTCCGAGGAACTGAATACCTAACGTCTAGCCAGGCCTTGAGTCCCGTTCTTTTCCGGCTCTAGAATCCCACCTGTTAGGACAGAAAGACACAGGGCTGGGGAATTGAAAGAATTGGTTAACTTGCGGGCTTCCCTTCAGGTGCTCCAAACATGTCTTTTTTCCTGAGCTTCTTGTTTCTTTCACACAGTCTCTGAAGAAGGTAGTGAGCGCTTGTTACTGTGGGGCGTGGGGCGTAGGGGGTGGGGAGGGATGGGGCAGAAAACCAGTCATGGCTGGTAACCAAAGTGGCCCAGGCAGGACCATTCACCCTTCTGGCTTCATTCTGGTCTAGGTTTCCATCTCTTAATGGCCTTCTGGACGTAAACTCTCTTCTTTAAAAAAAACAAAAAAATTTTTTTATTGTGGTAAAAACACAAAATTTACCATTAAAAAAAATTGAGGGGCTTCCCTGGTGGCGCAGTGGTTGAGAGTCCACCTGCCGATGCAGGGGACACGGGTTCGTGCCCCGGTCCGGGATGATCCCACATGCCGCGGAGCGGCTGGGCCCGTGAGCCACGGCCGCTGAGCCTGCGCGTCTGGAGCTTGTGCTCCGCAACGGAAGAGGCCACAACAGTGAGAAGCCCGCGTACCGCAAAAGAAAAAAAAAACATTGAGATATAATTGGCATATGTTATATTAGTTTTAGGTGTACAGCATAATGATTCAATATTTGTATATATTGCGAAACGATCACCACAGTTAGTCTGGTTAACATCCATTACTATACATAGTTACAGAATTGGTTTTTTCCCCCTGTAGTGAGAAATTTTTATGTCTCCTCTCTTAGCAACTTGTAAATATGCAATACAGTATTATTAACTGTAGTCACCATGCTGTACATTATATTCCCATGACTTACTTATTTTACGTTTGTACCTTTCAACCCTCTTCACCCATTCGCCCCCACCCCTGCCATCTTTGGCAACCACCAATCTGTTCTCTGTATCTCTGAGCTTGGCGCTTTTTTTTTTTTTTTTAGGTCCCCCATATAAGTGAGATCATGTGGTACGTCTTTCTCTGTCTGACTTATTTCACCTAGCATAACACCCCCCAGGTCCATCCATATTGTTGCAAGTGACAAGATTTCATTCCTTTTTATGGCTGGATAAAATTTACCTATCCATTTGTTATCTGTCTGTATTACACTTTCTTTATTCATCAGTTGATGGACGCTTAGGTTGTTTCCATATCTTGGCTATTGTAAATAATGCTGCAATGAACATGGGACTGCATGTTTCTT